TATATTTGGGTCTAAAAAAATATGAAATTTCAAGCTCACTAAAGTCTAACCTTACCATTTGAAATCTGCCATGGAAAGGAAGGATTTCCCACATAAATACTTTGCAAAGGCTCAAAGAACCATGTGGGGACATTCTAAGCTTTTAATTAGTTATTCACATGTCATAGACAGAAGCAGTTGAATGTAAGCAAGTCTTTCCAAAAATGGACAGAGGTGGGCAGAGCCACTGTGTTTGATTCAGTACATGTAGCGATATCTCAGCAAATAGAAAAGATAGGAGGTTTTTATTTTATATGCTAGATTGTCAATATTGGTAATTTCAGTTCTAATTTGTAAGAAACTATAAACTTTGTACTTAAACATCACAAATATCTAATTCTAACCAATGCTGCATTCAACACACAAAAATCTATATATAGGTGTTGTTTTAATATTTACTTTTAAATTAAGAAATTAACTAATGTATAATAAGAAAATTTAAATTATAATCTACAATTTGATACTAAACTTACTGACATAAATTAATAAAATAGTAGTTGAATAAAATTTTTAATGCGAGTCAACAATTGCAATGACATGGCCTTTGACCCATGACCCTTGTCGATAGGGTTAATTAAAAGACTATGGACACTAAATATTTAGACATTTTACACAAGTTAGATTTAACTCATAACCTTAAAAAGCTGTTTTTTGCATAAAAACAAAATTAGAAAAACAATATCAAATGACTTTAAACCTTTAGTCTACAATATTTATCATTTTTGGGAAATGCTACTACATAGTGATTTTATAATTAGTTACATGTGAATAATTGAATTATTAAATTCAAAGTGACAAATATATCCATTTATCCGTTTATTTTATACATGCTGATACTGTTATGCATTAAAGAATTTAATTTCAACATTAAGACTGTTATTGAAAAAACACTATCACATATTTGAGTTTTATTATGATAGTTTTCTGTAACTTAAGAATACTTGCTAATAATTAAAGCACTTGAAACTAACAAAATTTTCAGATCCCATATTTTACAACATTAAATTAAAATTATTATGAATGTGACAATCCTTCAATACTGAAACATATTTACTATATAAAACATTTAGACCACAAACGAAGGTAACTTTAAAATGATATTCAAACTTTTTTTAAAAATAACAATATAAAACTTTCTTCTGTTGCCAATTTTGTTTAGGTTAAGGAAAAAAGAAACAGTTGTTAACTTTCTGATCAGTACTGTTAATATATTATAATGTATCTTTTTCTGTCTCAATGTACACATAATTACATGATTAATTTCATAGTGTATTTCTTCATAAAGTAAATAACAGTAACTATACAAGTACTGCCAATAATAGTACACCTAAGTTAAACTATATTAAAACAATAACTATTAAGAGTTAATTAATTCTGTCTTTCTGACTCCTACATTAAAATCTTGACATTATAAGCAAATTAGAGTGCAAAATGTGGGGACTACCGGTTTAAAAGAAACAGATCAACAGACATGTAACATACAATTACAGTTATGTAAATAAAACATTATATGTTCAAAAATTTTCAGAATCACTTAAGCATCTATTCATTAATCCTAACATAAAGTACCTGCAAAAATATGGTGTATCTTGATGGTCATCTCCATGAAGATAAATTAATAAAAATTTCAATTCTCTCTTTGCATCATTAAGAGCCTATGGGAAATAGTATATATATATATATTTATGTCAGAATAAGTATAAAATTCAAAACTATGAATACCTCACTTATAAGACATCATATGTATTAAAAATAGTTGTAAAATAATATTTCTTCAGTTAAGAAATATTTATGCTGAAACATGTATGTACTATGTTTTTTTCCTCTTTAATGGAATTAAAATAAATTTTCTACTAAATAGTGGAAAATGCTACAAATTATATAACTATTTATATATAAACACAAAACATAATGAAGCCATCACAACAATTAGCAGTTTAAATGAAAAAGTAGAAAATTACAAATTTATATAATGCATACATATAAAACACAGAGATTCTCATGTTGTTGATATCAAAATTGTTAGTTAATATTACGAAACACATAAATACTAAAATGTTTTATATGCAAAGAAAACATTTAAATTTTTTTTCAAACCTGACTATATGTCCCTTGATAAAATACCGGGTGCACAGGTCCATACTTTGATTGATAACTCTGAATAAAATTCAATACATCACCTAATGGGTCTGTAACATCTGAAATATTAAAGGTAAATACAAGTCAAATGTAAAAACTTATTTCAAGTCTAAAGGAACTATTCAAGATAAGACTGTACATTTTAAAAGTAATAAAATAATTTACATTTTGATACTCATAACAAATCTGCATTTCTTATTCTTAAATATTTCTTTTTTTTGAAATTTATGAATTAATTGTAAAACATCTGTCTAAGACATTCTCCAAGTCATAAAATTATGACCACAATACACATATGTTTCATCTAACATTTGATTACATAAATATATTTTATAATATTTTTAACCTGCTTTATCTTTGTCATTTGATTTGCTTAAATACCTGTAGTGGTATGGAAAAAGTATATCAAATTACCATCAAACAGCAAATCAAAGGCATAAAATAAGGATTTATCAATTACTACAAGCAGATGTTAAAAGAGAAAATACACTATGCTACCAAAAGTCATGGGACACAGGTAGTTATAAATAAAACATGTTTTTATTGCAAGAAATTAATAGCATGTTGGCCCACCTTTGGCCTTAATGACTGCTTCAATGTGTTGTGGAAGACTATCTGCTAATTTCTGGTAAAAAGCTAGTGGTATTGTGCTCCATTACTCCTTTAAAGCATTAGTAAGCTCCATTGCTGCATTCCAGTTTATCCCAAAGATGTTCTATCGGGTTGAGGTTCAGGCTTGGTGCTGGCCACTGCAATGTTCCAATATTATTCTCTTCACACCATGCATTCACAATCCTTGCTTTGTGACATGAAGCATTATCATGTTGAAAGGTGTAAGGGCTGGTAACATAAAATTGTCACAATGTAGGACACAAAATTGTTCAGAACATCAATGTAGGACTTAGCATTCATGGATCCATGCACTGCAACCAGTGGACCTAGTCCATACCATGAGAAGTACCCCCCAGACCATGATACCACCACCACCTCTGAATTCCACTGTTGGGACAACACACTCAGGTAATAATAGTTCTCCAGGCATCCTCCATATCCAAACATGTCCATAAGGCTGGAAGAGCATGTAACATGACTCGTCGCTCGACAGGACCGATTTCCATCGATCCAAAGTCCAGATTCGGTGTACCTTGCCCCATGCCAATCGACGGTGTGCAGTTGTTGTTGCTTTTTTATCAATGGCTTGTGGGCTGCAGCTCTTCCGTGAAAATTCATGGCATGCAGCTCTTGACATGTTGTGGAAACACTTACAGGATTGCCTGTGGCTTCTTGCATCTCCAAACACAGATTCTATAGGCGAGATGAGGAAACCTGCCTTCTCAAGGTACGTCAACTCCTGTCAGTCAGTATTTTACACTTACCTGGTCATTTCTTGGGCTCATTGTCACCTGTGGACTTCCATTTCTTCAGCATGTTGCCAAATGTCAGTCTAAGAATGTTTAATTGTTGTGCAATAGCACATAGATAATTTCCTCAAATGACATCCAACTATCCTTCCCCCTCTGAAACTGTTAGCTCTTTCCATGTACTCATCATTCAGTGTACAAGTTCAAAATGACTTCCAAGCGAACCACTGATCACCTTTATAGGCCAAACTATTTGCATATTTTGTCATCACAGCTATTTTCCTGCAATCAGAGGTGTGTTCCATGACTTTTGGTAGGATAGTGTATACTTTACATAAACACTATGAAACTTTCTCCAACCTAAAAAATTTAACTTTTGATAAGAAAACCATAAAAAGTTATGCATTAGAGAAATTTGGCATAGATTCAAGTGTTGATTAGTTACATGTTGAGTTACAGTAATTAATATCTTGTTTTTTTTTAATTTTATGGTAACTCTCCTTATTAAAAACTCAATTATAAATTTCCCTTTCTTACACTAATACGTTTTTAACTTTATAGGTTACATACAGTTTGACTTCAATATATTTGAAATCTTACAATGAAATGCAACAAAATCCTAAGCTAATTTGTAAAACAAAACAAAAACAACAACTTACATCTTCTTGGGTCTGGATGTATCAAACTCCCTAATTAAGGATAAAAACTTTTTAAGATATGGTTTTTATTCAGATATGTTCATGAATTCTATTTTATAATAAGAATTAAATTATAAATTGTACCTTATTATAAAAATAGAAATACAAATCTGTGGCCTTATTTATTTCAGATATATATATATATATATATATATATATTATTTGAACTACAAAATATAGCTTAAAAACTCAAAATTTTTAAAAACAATGATTATTTTATGCACAATTTTATAAAAATGAGATTGTCCACAGTCTCCAAATTACTAAAATACAATAACTTACTGTACAGGATAAAAAAGTGATAAAAACCCCAATGAATGTATACTAGTTTCGATATATACTATTGCATCATCTTCAGGAGTGTAATGTTTTGCCAAAAATAACACTTATTTATACAATTATCAAAACACCAATTTACATATTAAAGAATTTCACGCCATCTGCTGACAACATTTTCCACATGAAGAATAGTGTTTTTAATTTTAACATGAAAATCACTTTGCACTCAGAGCAGTAAACACTTTGGCTCCATATATTTCTGGAGAAATTCTTTGTGAAAATGCTTCATGAAAAATTCTGATTTTTTGTCTACAAATCACTCTTAAAAATTTCCTGAAGACACACAAAACATTACAAGTTATAGTATGGAAAGTATAAAGGTCAAGTTAGGGTCATGAACGCTGTGGATTTGAATGAGCCTGTAGCAAAAAAGTGAAATTAGTTCAGATTTACATAGTTCACTAATGATTGGTACATCACAATTCTCAAGCAAGGCTTCCTAAGTGTCTACACCAAAGACCAGTTAACCAGTAAAAGCAGTGTTTTCATGCAAGATGGGGCTCCTACTTATTCAGCCTGAGTTATAAAACAACACCTTGAATGTTGGGGCATTACCACTTTCCTGTGGCCAAGCCAGTTGCCATATATGAACCCTAATGAGCATGTGTGATCTATCCTTGACTATTTCTTGAAAAGCATCCAAAATGACCAATTTCTATGGCTACCTTCATCAAAGTTCTCCACCACAAGTGGTGTGGAATCTCAAATACCTAGGTTTCTGATCTTGAAAATATGATGTGTAACCATGTTTCTGCTTGAAACATTACAGAGTTCATTAAATATAAACTATAATAATGTATATTTTGTCCGACTTTTGTTTATTTGTGGGTGTCTATTTACTTATTGAAGAGTCATGTTTACATAGGCAGTTCTTCCTATGGAAAACTGTCAAGATGTTGAGCTGAACAAAGAAAATAAAAAATGTTAACATACTTTACATTCACATAACATTTCCACTCAAGGAAATCTCTACTATTCAACTTGCTTTGTTGATTTGAAAGAATTAAAAGTCCAGAAACATAATAAAATGTATTACAGCTATATAGTTATAATATAGTTTAAATAGTCTAAACCATAAACTTTTGTTTAGGAATGACCTTCCAATAACAACAATCTCTCCTTGACCTATGTATCACATATGGTTGTCTGACAACAATATCTTTCAGAAGCTACATTTTTGGTGTATGGTTGGATGACAGAACTTGACAAAAACTAACTACTGGCTCAGTTTGGCAGATGAAATCTGCCCATATTTGGTATGCTTAAGCAATGCATTAGGAAAATAACATAAGTAAAAAACAACAGGGTTTGAACATTTTACAATATTTTTTGCTTGAAAGTATTTATTACAACAGTAGAAATATTATCTTTTTAATAACTTTTATAAAACAAATAATATAATCAAAAATATATCTGTGCATAAATGATTATCACTTTAGTCAGATACAGTACTTTTACATTCAAACAACAACAAAGCAAATTACTTATAGCTACACTAACAAATCTGATCTGTTCTATTATATGATTTAAAAAAAAACTTGAAAAATTCAAAATAAACATACAAGCAAACCTCATGACACTAAGTAATGACTGATAGATGAAATTAAATGGAAATGTTAACAAAAAATATCCCCATCCAAATATTCCTTGGGGTCGCCATACTCGAACTGCTTGGTAAAACCTAGATGAAAAAAAAGAGATAACATGTGTTGGGATGTAACACATAGACACTACACAAGTTTCTCCAGAAAAAATTAAAAAATTAACTTGTTCTCTAAACTTTAGAGGAATATGCAACTAAATGAGAAAAGTAACCATAAACTCCCAATTTAAATTCCTTTCTTAAATTATTAAATGCATTCAACCATTATCTATAGGAAACAAAATTAAAACTACTTATTTGTGTATATTAATAAAATATTGTAAGAAACAACCTCTATGAACACTTCAATAAAAAGATGTATTATCTTCACATTCTATGTCACTTTGCTTTTTTATTCTATATACTACCAAATACAAAATGTTTTTTTTTTAATGTGTGCAATTAGCAAAAAAAAAAATTCCACTGCAAGAAATATATAAACATATATATATAAATCTTTTTTTTTATTTATTCACAACAATTAGGGCACTTTTTGAAGAACAGCATTGATCAAACGCATTTAGAAAATTTCACTAAATTTTTTACATTACGTGGACATTCTTCTGTAGTAAATTATGATTTTTTGAACTATTAATGCATATCTTACATAGTTGCCAATCCCAGTACAGCAACTGTCACACCACTTTGGATTCTAGCAAGACAGAATCATCTTAATTTGGATGCAGGCCCTTTAAAAACATGTTTATTGTGCTATAAGCAGAAGCTACAAGAACTGTCATGAATTCAGCTTCCTGAAATAAGATCTAAAATCTACCAGATTACAGCATTTTCCTTATTGACATTTAAGCTTCACAGGAGAAGCATACTCTTAACCCCTCTCATTTTTTTTTCAACTGAGCCTAAGCATTCATTAAAACTACACTTTTACATTCTTTTTAGTCAAGAATTATAAATCTTTAATTCCATAAGATTTAAAAAAATGAAGGATTGAAAGAGTCAATTCAATACCTTTGGTTGGGAAAGTTTGTAACAACTGTTGGCATTGAACTTGAAGGTGGTCTGTAAACTGATGGTGACCCCTCCCTCATATTTAATGTATCCTGTACAGCCACCTTGTGAAACAAAAACATATATTTTAACACAGGTGCAAAATAGCCTTGCTTCATAAGACAATAAAAATCATACTCATTTTCAAAACAGACATTTTATTGCTGGAACTATTTTAAAGCAAAACAGCTACTTTATAATACTAACTTGTTCAATTTACTTGTAAGTATACTAACAGTAATGCAGATATGGTAAATATACCTATTTCTATTTTTTTTTGTCCGTTCACACACACTATTACCATTACTAGAACAGAATTTCTCCAGCTATTAATGGGCCTGTCTCCAAGAACTTGCAGGTGAATCCCATGGTAACTGCTGCACATGGTTCATAAAGGTCAATTGCTGGTACACAAAGACAGTTGAACTATATATACCATATAAAATGAACCTCATGTACTTTCAAAGATGAGTGGTTGTTGGATGCAGCTTAGGTGGTACAAAACATTTTACCTCAATTATTTACATCTGAATCAATTTTGTGTATTGTGCTTAAAATCAATCATTTCTTAATTTATGCATAATTGCAAACATGTCATGGAAAAAAAACATCTAGCATTAAATCCATTACTCTTGGACTTCAGATTACCAAAACCACTTCTAACAGATTCCACACACATGCTGGAATAGTTGCATTTACTTTCTAAATAAATGTATGTTTTTAATCATCCACACAAGAAAAAAATGGATAACAGACTTGAAAATGTGGGAATCTAATGCTTAAGTTGCTGTTTTAGTGTCATAACAAAGGGAAGAAAACTCACAAAATGATTGCATTATGTTTTCTTTATTCAAATGGAAATATTTCTCACAATCAGAACATGAAATTCCAAAATAAATATAATTTACAACTTTAATTAGAAAATTACAAGGATAAAAATGACTATTATAATACAATGTACACATACTGTAAATAAAATTATTAACTACATTACGTTATGAAAATTCTCACTTAACTGATCACTTAAAAAGATTGCCAATATACTAGCTTTAGGATCAGTATTCATTCTGAAAATCATTTGCACATTGTAACAAGAGCCAGCTTGTTGAAAAAATATACAAACTGAACAAGATACGGTCATCTCCTTTATCCTATCTTTTCTAATCAATCACTCTTAACAGTTATCTCAATTTTTTTGCCCCAAAACTCCTGAAGCTTTGATTTCTAATAAGGATAAATGGAAGTTACCAGTATTAACCAATTAGCTATTTTATAAGCTGAACATAGTGATTATTGGGGAAACCTCCATTCCTCAATGAAAATTACAGCACCTATTAAGTCATTCTTTCCTTTTTTTAATGGTAAATTCAATTCACGATATTCAGTTGTCTTAACTTAAATGTCTTGTAATGTGTGACAAATGACTCAGTCTCTTAGCATATATTGTTTTCTTGGTTCAGTGCTATGCTGTTCCTTGTTACCCGCTATTGTTTTGTGTCTAATTCTTCTCATTCATTTAATACCATAGGTTTTTATCACTACTCAAAGATCTGAGGTATACATTTGTATGCAAATTTACGGTTATAGCAAACAGTGTAGGAAATCTCATCTGTTATATTTTTCTTTAGATGCTTCTATATTACTTCAGCAGCATTCTCCATACTTTGCTCTAATGCTGAACCTACATCAGAGTAGCATTTATGGATTGCTCCAATATGTTTGAAGAAACATATCCATTTTACAAATTTCATTCTTAAAAAGTTACTTGTTCTTCATGTTCAATGGAAACAATATCAAGTATCTTCACATCACAAGAGTGTAACAAAGAAGTTGCAGGAACATCATTTGGAACATTTTGGATGTATCATCAATTTCTTAAAAGTAAAGATATGTTGTTTTATCCACACATATTCCCTGGAAAGGAATTTCACTACGTTCAGCCTTCAATTTGTTATCCATGGTTGCTATAAATGAAAAATGTATAGTTAGCTGAAGTATACAATCGTTTTGTGAAATATAATTATAATTTTCTATAATTTAATTACACTGTTATATGTCTTAATAGCCAACTCCTCTTTTATAAGATAGTGGTTTATTCTCATTTGAATTTTTAATAATTTTAAACCTCACTGCCTTACAAATTGTCACTAATGCCTTTTGTTATTAACAGTAAAAATATACAGATATTCAAATTAGTAAATAGCTTATCAACCTTAGTGTCATTAACAAGCATAAAATAAGAGAGACAAAAATAATATTGTTAATTTAGTCTGCTTGCAGTTACTAATATGATGTTGTACTTTCTTACCTTACCTTTACAAACTCTGAATATGCTTTCTTACTTCATACATATGTAGGTAATCTGTAAAGAAATTATAGGTCTAATAATAGTTTATTAAGTCAAATTTTCATCAAACTCAAAATTCTGTAAAAAAAAAGAAAGAAAATTACTAACCTGTAAAACTCCTTAGTTTCCTTCAGTAAAACTTCCTGTTTCACAAATTCTCTGTGCCTTTTGTAAATGCATTTCTTATGTCTCTACCAAAATAGTGTTGCAGTGCATTTCATCAGCTTTGTATTTCAACTAAGGAAACTCTTTTCCCCACTCAGGTCGATTAACATCCTTTAACATTTCTAGTATAACTTGTAAAAAACATAAATCGGCATGCACACAAAACCAGATATCCAAGAAAAGACAGATCATTTAGTAAATCATGGTCATATGTAACACTCAAATGCAGGTTTTGCTGAATAAAGAAAAAGTGTCTTAATTTTGATCAATTACGTATTCTTATTTGAAGATTAGTCCGTCACACAATTATATACCACACTTTACGATTTTTGTTAACCTTTCTTGTAGTCTAGAAAAACTTTTCTCAAATGGGAAAAAATTCCACCTTGTGCACCTACCTTTTTGTGCAGAGTACTGTTTAAATGAAACCTCTTACTCTACAGCCCTTAAACCACGCATACCAGAATTTAACATAAAGCATCACTCTAACTGAACCTTGAGAGCCAAAATTGAGCTAAAAATAAAAGAACATCATATGGACCAATGAAATGCTTTTACTATTTTTTTCAGGGAGAAGGAGGAATGGATACAGGTTTTTTTTCCCCCACACTCTGGACATGACAGTGCTGTCTCAAATGTTTAAAAGTGTTAGAGGTTAGTGTGATGGCGAGGGTCTGTTTTATTTGTCTTGGACTTAGCACACTGGTAGTAATTTAAAAAATCATGAATGCATAGTAATATCATGAAATATTGGATAATGTACAATACCTGCAGTGATGGAACTCAATGGAAATAAGTCATATCTTCTCAGTATGATAAAATAAGTTATACTCTCTCAGTATGATAATACATCATGCTCTACACCATAAAAAAAAATCTGCTTTGATTAGCTCAAAATCCAAATGAGGGACAGTATTTCACTACACCTGGAGGCACTTCACATACCAATGACTGGTAAGAAGCATTATCATGTAGACAAAAAGAGTCCAGGTTATGTGTCACAATAAAATTGAACTTACTACCTATTTTTTATGAACATATTTTGTCATTAAATAAATTATTTTTTAAAACAAAATTTGGGATGTGGTAAACACTGTAGAGAATACACTTGTAACTTTTACATCATTTCTCCTTTAAAAAAATGCTTGTATGTGTAAAAGAAGCTATATGTATCAGTAATAGTCTTAGGGAAACAAGAAAATGATAAGATACCTGCAAACAAGACCAAGTTATCTCTCATTATCACTGAACAACATCTCAGACAATGTCTAAAATCATTTTATTTTGGACAGAATAAAGAATTATGAATGAAATTAGAAATATCCAAGTAATGTATCATATTTACATGAAGTAATCTGAGAAAAATATTCTACAAGTAAGTTTAAACATGACATCTATTTGAAATGCATATATGTAGATTAAATATTTGACTGTAGAGCCATATGGAAATGCAAGCTATTAATATTTCTAAGGAATCATAAATCAAAATAACTGCATTCACTTTTCAAACAGTAGGAAAAATATAAACTTCTATTTCTGCATGTTCTTAAATTGTAAGTAGGTATGCAACTCTCATGAAAGTTCTTTACAACAATGAAACTAGAGGATGAAATTCTTTTAAATTTGAGATGAAAGGTCCTATAAGTATGTAGTTTTTGAAAAATAAAATTTTTCATTTTGATTTTTTCTAAAGCAATGTTTTACTCATGCCTTTATCTTTTTGCCGTATTGTATAAAAAGAAAGATATAACGACTTTATATTTGAAAATGAGAAAGCCACTAAGGGGATATTCTGAGCTTTCAAAATATTCACAGGTCCCTTATATACACTTACTTCTATATATGACTTGTGAATGACCATTTGAAAATGAGAAAGCCACTATGAGGATATTCTGAGCTTTCAAATGGTTATTCACAGGTCCCTTATATACACTAACTTCTATATATGACTTGTGAATAACCATTTGAAAATGAGAAAGCCACTATGGGGATATTATGAGTTTTCAAATGGTTATTCACAAGTCATATATAAAAGCAAGTGTATATAAGGGACCGTTTCCAAAACTTGAAAGGTGAGCTGGTCCACTGCATTTGATTCAGTATTGAGAGATATCTCAGCAAAATAG